TTGTAGCCACAGGGTCTGCTTGATGTGTTTTTTTTTTCGTTTTAACTACACCAGTAATCACATGTCTGGCTAATTAAATATTTACAAATAAAGCCCATTATGAGCAATGCAAACCATCAAAAGTGAGGAGTTAGGGAGAGGGTCTTTTTTATAATAAATTTAACCTATTTTTCTAACCTGTTCAGAGATGTTATTACACACCTTTGGAGCAGATGGGGCTTGAACCCATGACTCCTGGTCCAGGGTTAATGAGACTATTACTGTACCAGAAGAGGACCCCAGAGGCTGGGTAATAATTCCATGGTGGGATTTGAACCCAGATCATAAGAACATTAGTTGAACTTCTAGAATAGTAATGTAGTGATAATGCCATTAGACTATCAACTATTTCTAAATGGAGGGTGTGTGTGTCAGCTTTGTAAATAGAATCCCTACAGTATGGAAGCAGGCCGTTTGGCCCTTTAAGTCCATACTGACCCTCCAAAGAGCAACCCACCTGGACTCATTCCCCTACCCTGTAACCCTGCATTTCCCCTGCACCTAAACTACACATCCCTGAACACTATGGTCAATTTAGCATTGCCAACCCACCTAACTTGCACATCTTTGGACTGTGGAAATAAACCAGAGCACTCACGCAGACATGGGGAGAACATGCAAACTCCACACAAACAGTCACCTGAGGTTGGAATCGAACTCAGGTCCCTGGCACTGTGAGGCAGCAGTGCCAACCACTGAGCCACTGTACTGCCCTTTAAGCCTCTGTGGCTCAGGTGATGAGTTCCAGCTGGCAGCCCATTACTTGTTACCAAGAGAATTCATACTCAATGAATTCGATAGGGAGATTAATTCATGAGTTCCCATAGACTTTGTTGGGGTGATCAAACCTTCCTAACTGCTCACTGCATCAACATACTTACTTTCAATAACCTGTGCACAAGGACATAAGGTCCCTTTGTACATCAACATTTCCCATTCTGTCACCATTTAAATAATACTGTGCCATTCTGGTTTTCCTACTGAAGTGGGCAATTTCACTCTTATTCATGTTACTCTGCATCTGCCAAGAATTTTTCCAACTTATCTAAAATGATTCATTTATTCCTACTCTCTGTTTCTTGACTACTAACCAATTTTCAATCCATGTCACTATTCAGCCCCCAATCCCACATGCTTTCATTTTTCGCACTACTCTTTTATGTCAGAGTTTGTCAAATGCTTCCTGAAAATCTAAATACACCACATCCACTTGTTCTCCCTTTTCCATTACACTAGTCATGTCACAGAAAAGCTCTAATAGGTTTGTCAAACATGATTATCCTTCCAGAAATCCATGCTAACTTTAGAGTCATAGAGTTATACAACACAGAAACAGAACTTTTGGTCCAACTTGTCCATGCCAACCAGATTTCCTAAATCAATCTAATCACCATTTCGTCCTTATCTCTCTCAACCCTTCCTAATCATGTACCCATCAAGATGCCTTTTAAATGTTGTAATTGTACCTGCCCTAATCTCTTCCTCTCGCAGCTCATTTCATACATGCACCATGCTCTGTGTAAAAATGTTGCCCCTCATGTCCCAGGTGGCACAGTGGCTGGTGGTTAGCACTGCTGCCTCACAGCATCAGGGACCTAGGTTTGATTCCAGCTTTGGGTGACTATCTTTGTGACGTTGCACATTCTCCCTGTGCCTGTGTGGGTTTCCTCTGGGTGCTCTGATTTCTTCCCACAGTCCAAAGATGTGCAAGGTAGGAGGATTGGCCATGCTAAAGTGTCAAGGGGTGTGCAGGCTAGCTGGATTAGCTCTGACAAATACAGAGATAGAGTAGCAGGTGGGTTAGGGGATGCTCTTTGGAGGGTCAGTGTGGACTTGATGGGCTGAATGGCCTGCTTCCACACTGTAGGGATTCTATAAACCTTTCCCCTCTCACCTTAAACCTATCCCTTCTAGTTCTGGACTTCCCTACCCTGGGAAAAGATATTGGCTATTCACCCTATCCATGTCCCTCATGATTTTATAAACCTCTATAACTTTGTCACATGATGCTTTCTAAGTGACCAGTTATCATACTATTTTAAATGTACTTTAATATATTCCCTACCAGCAATGTTAGGTTAACTGGACTGTAATTCCTGCTTTGTCTCTTTGTAAAGTTTTAAATCGTGGAGTTATATTTCCTACCCTGTGATCTGCCAGGACTGTTTCAAAATATGCAGAATAAAGTGAGAGTAGGGTTAATTGGATAGCTTTTTCAAAGAATCAGCTCCAAGATATTGAGACAAATTCTTCTGTGATCCAAATTTCTTTGATTCTTGGCTGATCAAACCTTGCTCTGAATGTTTCCAGCCAGGGGTTCACAAAAAACGGAGCAAAATTATTGTAATATGCTGTAAAACATCACTAATGTACTGAAATATCACTTATTACTGTTCAGCACTCCTGGAAGTTTTACTTAGAAATCCAATCTCACAAAGTGAATGAAAAATCTCACTTTGGTTTAATGGAAGCATCTCACTTAGTTTGGTGAATGTACTTTGGTTGATGTTCAACAAAGTCTACTTTTGCAGTTTATTGTGTCAAACCTGAATCTGATTATGATGGATAACCTTGAGGAATATTTGTTAGTCAATACTGGTACATCTTACCTTGTTGAGCACAAATAATTAGCAGAAAACATGAAATAAATGAAAAATCTGTAGTTTGCAAATGGCCATTCAAAATACTAACCTAGGGTTGATCCTCTGCATTCAAATGCTGGATTTGGATATACAGGTTGAGGTTTGTTTTATTTCATTCATATTGGTTCACAGAATTCATAATGACCTTGTGCACATCATTAAAGGTGAATTATGGCTTAATTTTAATGTTTTTATTTTAATGTTTCAGTTTTTATTTATAATTCAGTATTCTTTTTGGAAATAAAATCCCCTGGCAACTTCTAAACTATATGGTAAGGATGGCAAAGAGATTTCCCTTGTGACAACATAATTCTTTCAGCACAGCTTCTTCATCCTCAAGTACATTCAGCACCTCAGTGTAACTGGTTTGTGGTTTGTAGACAAGTTTATCAACAACTTGCAGAACTTTGCCTGAATATCTAACATTGATTGAGGCAAAGTTGTCCCTGAAATTAGTAGCAGAGCAGTAGAAAATAAGGCTATAATTACATGTGGCTTTTGTGAACACAATGTACAAATGGAAAATAAAACTGCATTCCACCAGGTGTTAAAAAGTCTGCCACAATCACCAAGGTAATTAATGAGGTAGGATTATCTTAATTAATCCATTGAGATACCCTAACAACCGTAGAATCCCTACAGTGGGGAAACAGGCCATTTGGCCCAACAAGTCCACACTGACCTTACAAAGAGCACCCCACCCAGACTCACCATGCCCCCACATATCTGTAACCTTGCATTTCCCACGGCTAATCCGCCTAACCTACACATCCCTGGACACTATGGGCAATTTAGTATGGCCAATCCACCTAACCTGCACATCTTTGTGACTGTGGGAGGAAACCAGAGCACTCAAAGGAAACCCACACAGTCATGGGGAGATACATGCAAGCTCTACACAGACAACCGCCCAAGAGCTGGAATTGAACCTGAGCCTCTGGTGCTGTAAGGCTAAGTGGTGCTAACCACTGAGCCACCGTGCAGCACTTTAGCATCTAGTTATTTTTTAAGCAATTCTGAAGCTTTTCTCTTATCCTGCAAATAGAACTCAGGTGTTATTCTAGTGGATTTCACTTATTGTCAAACCATTTAACCTTTCTACTGAAGCGAAAGACAATGATTTTCAATAATTCTGAAATCTGATAATTTCAGTTCGGGTCATGAAGGATAAGAAGAGAATCAAAATCCTGATAATGACACAAGAAATATTTCCTTGGGCTGCACTTTAGTGCTAGAGAAATGAATTAGGAGAATGAACTTGGACATTTTAACCCTGATGAGAGATGACTGAAGGGGAATATTGTTTACTTATATACATCAGTAAGTGGAATGCTAAAGGTAAATTAGGGGTGTTATTTAAGTTAAATCCTGACTTCAGGATAGCTTGGTCATAGGAGTGATAAAAATCACATCTAGAACAAAAGTAAGGAGGAGCTAGCTGCTTCAGATTGAGTGATCAGTATTGCCGAAAAGAGAAACACATCACTGAAGTTTGTTGTCTTCCACTCACTGGGACCAAGTCAATGGTGGAGCAATTTAAAGTCCAGTAAGATGGCGGTGGATAGGGTGCTCCAGCTGGAGCTCCTCTGCTCCTCCTGTGCTTTTTCTTTTTTTTTGCTCCCTCTCTCCTCCCTTCTCTCGACCTTGAATACCCGGCCCTGGCCTCTGACTCCTAGCCTCCCAAAGTGGGGTTGGCTGTTGGTGGAGATGCCAGTGGCCCAAAGTGGGCATGCCAGTGAACAGCAACACAGAATGGAGCGTGACAGCAGCTGGTTTGTGGTTTGTAGACAAGCAGACCAGCTGACAGCACATAATGGTCCCCTGCGCTGGTCTGCTGCAGACAGCCTTTGGAAAAAGACAGTGATGTTTGTCTTTTTAACTTTGCCTTTTGCTTTTCTACACTGTACAGCTGTAATGTAATGTTTATTTTTCTTCATTTCTCTATTCTGTGACTAAGGATTGCACCTAGGTACCATTGTACCTAAGATGATGCTATAAGTGGCAACTTATAAACTATTCATTTGACTACTTGTGACAATAAAGCTAATTCTAATTCTAATTCTAATGCCGGAGCAATTAAAGTCACAATGAACAAGAATCCAGAATTGAAAGCTTGCAGGGCTGGAGGAGGGTTACAGAGATAGGGAGGACTGATGGTACAGAAGGATTTGTAAATAAGGATAAGAATTTTCAAACCAAGGATTTTTCAGAGTCAATGTTGTGTGCTGGCTATGATATGGGGAACAGAGATTTGGATGATTTCATGAGGTTACACTAAGGGTTTCATAGTGATGTGTATTCCTTCAATTTCTTCCAGAGGTTTTCCGAGCTGCTGCTGAAGCAGGTCCTTACGACATTTTGAAACTATACAACACAAAAGGCAACATTATAAACATCTCCCCAAAGCTGGAGTCCAATACTCGGCAAACACAGTACAAACTGGAAGTCGTTGCTGCTGATTGTAAGACCGATTCCTTAGGTAAGAGGCATCTTACCAGTTTAGTTCGAGCATTATATGATAAACCTAATAGTAATAGTCATTTGGTCACACAGACATTGAGAATTGCTGAAGGAAAGAAACATTTTGTCCAAGCTTTATATCTTACACTCATCAGGACAATTTGTAAGAAAATGAATTTATGGGGAAAGCTAACATTTTTATTGCATGAGAAGAGTGCACTCTCCTCGCTATTCATCCAGTATAAATATTAATTATTCCTTAATCTGTATTCTTGCAAATCATCCAGAAGAGTGCAAGATGAAAAGCTTTCACAAAGTCTAATGTTGCATGTGAGCAGAGCAACTCAAATGGCACAGTATGGACAGTGGTGAGAAGTCACAGCGTGGATAATGCAGAGTAACTAAACATAGCATAGGATGGGTGAGTGGAACTAACTCAACACAGCATGGTCAGCAATGCACAGTGTAAAAAGCATTTCAGCAACAACAGAATAGCATTGTGGAATGAAGCACAGAAGCTTGGTGTATTTTAGAGTAGTGCTTTAAACGCTAGCTTTTGCTGTCAAGGGGAAAGAAAAACCTGGAAGAAATGTGTAATTTGTTAACTGATGTAACTAAGATAGGGCAAAAAAAGGAAATGAATAAAAAGACCATGTAGAAAAATATCCAATAAACCTCTTTCCTGAAAAGTGATAAATATTTGGAATAATCTAGGTAATAGTGTCAAAGCACAGTACAGTACGGGAATAGGCCCTTTGGCCCACCAAGACTGCATTGACACACGATGCCTTTCTAAATTAAAAACCTTTTGCCTCTATGTAGTCCATATCCCTCTTTTCCCTGCCTTTTCATGTATCTGTCAAGAAACCTCTTAAACATTGCTATTGTATGTGCCTCCAGCACCTCCGCTGGCAGCACATTCTTGGCACTTACTAACCTCTGTGTAAAAAATGTCTCTTACATCTCTTTTAAACTTAGCCTCTTTTACCTTAAACCCATGTACCCTAGTAATTGACATTTATACCCTGGGCAAAAGACTCCGACTATCCATTCTATCAATGCCTCTGGTAATTTTTGTAAGCTTCTGTCAGGTCACCCCTCATCCTTTGATGTTCAAGTGAAAATAAACCAAGTTTGTCCAATCTCTCCTCATAGTTACTGCTCTCCAAACCAGGCAACATCCTGGTAAACCATTTCTGTACCCTGTCCAAAGCCTCCGCATCCTTTTGGTGACCAGAACTGTGCAAAATACAGTTGAGTACAAAATATTGAGTTTACTTAAAATTTAAATTTATGTAAATGTAAATTACCATGTTGTATATTAGTAAGAAAGTCAGCTTCAGTGAATCAAGTCATATTTAACTGCTGTTCTAGTCTTGCTGCAACAGTTGGTTACACCAGGCAATTGTATGACAACAAATTGATGCAAAATTCTTTCAGCAAAGCCTTTCCAGGTGCACCAATAATCCCATTTACTTTCTGACCAATATTTGCAACAAACCTCGAACACTGTGGAGTCTTACACACCAAGAGTATGAAGATTGACACAAATGCAAAACCTCTTTACTTAACACCATCCATTGTGGATTTAATTACCTTTCCCTCTGTAAATGTTTTATTGAAATCATCTGAGAATACAGTCCCTTTGTGGATGCTTTCTGTGCTAATTAACCAAGTGCTCCAATGAGGTGGCGTGCCTCTTGCAGAGACTGGGAAATGCAAGGCTCTTGATCATCCACTGAGAGCACTTGAGATATCTGTGGGTGGCATTCATGAGCTGCCTGGCAGTGGAGAAATGATGATCAAGATGGAGATGACTAAAACCAATAATGCACCAAATACGGGAGTAACAAAGCACCATCAAAGTTATGGTCAAAAATGACGATGGAGGGACATGGATTGACTGCACTTATCCATTAAGAAGACCCTTTCAGAATTATTGGGGATTTGAAGTGACGGATATTGACTATCTGCAGGATGTAATGCACATCAAATTCTTTATTGTGTCCTTCACGATCATTGTGGCATGTCTGGAATTCTTTGTGGTCTTCAAAGAGAAGAAAACCTGCCACAACCCTGCATTAACCCTCAGTGTACAAACAGTGTTCAAACACCTGTGCTGCCATTCTACCTTTCCCCTGGGTTGTGAATGATGGGTCTGATCATGTTGCCACACAATGCTCTGAGCAGTTTGTCCATACCTGATCTTTGTCCACCATGAAGGAGTTCATGTGGAAAACACCTTTGACCTCCACGTCCATCAGGCTTCGTTAGTGTTTGGGGTCCTGCAGGAAATGGAGCAGTTTGACCCTGTTGATTGGTTTCCTGAGCAGACTGTCAAAGCTATTTGGCAGAATGTCTTATCTCCAGAACTTACTAAAAAGGCCCATCCCGTCACACCCTTCCTATATGTCCAGAGTCTTAACTCCTCCTCATGTTGTCTCTGAAGTCGAAGAGCTGGGGACAAGACTGTTGTCCACCACGACGTGAAATGTGTCTTTGCAAAGAATGTCCATAGAGAGAATAAGGTTCATCCCAAGTAGCTCTGTTACAGAGAGCCATGTGCACAATGGGCCGTGCTGAGGCATGCACACTGAGACAATTATTAACTGTGGCTGGAGGATCATCAACTTGGTGAAAGCAGCTCTATGGCCTGTCCGAACCCTGCTGGTCTTCCAGTGCAAGGAATTATCCTTGACTGAATGTTGTAGATGGTACACTCCAAGATTCTAACTATGTGTTGTCATAAGATCATACAATCATAGAATCCCTACAGTGTGGAAAGAGGCTATTCAGCCCATCAGGTCCGCACTGACCCTCCAAAGGGCAACCCACCCAGATCCGACCCTCTAACCTAACCCCATAACCCTGCATTTGCCATGGCTAACCCACGTGGCTTGCACTTCCCTGGACACTATGGGCAATTTAGCATGGCCAATCCACCTCACCTGCACATCTTTGGACTTTGGGAGGAAACTAGATCACCCAAAGGAAACCCACACAGACACAGGGAGAACCGTGCATACTCCACAAAGACAGTCACCCAGAGCTGGGATCGAAGCTGGGTCCCTGGCACTGTGAGGCAGCATTGCTAACCACAGAGCCACCTGACAAAAATGTACACTGTGAATATTAAGTAATGTTAAACTATTGCACTTCAGAGTGCAACACGGTATACGGAGAAAAGTTAAGTCCTATTGCAGACAAACAGGAGGCTGGATGAACACAGTAAGACAGGCAGCATCTGAAGGAAAGGAAAAGTCAACATTTCGGATGTTATCCTTCTTCAGGGTACATTGGTTGTAATGTGACCTTTATCTCAAAATAGAGCAAGGTCCCATCACTATGGTTACCAACACAATAGTTAAAATCTATCGATTATTGCATTTGAAAATAATACATATTATGTTTTGTACTTTGGTGCATAGTTAACTTTTCGTCATGAAGATGTTATACAATTTGAAATGACTGTGTGCTCAATTGAGAGGACTAAAAACTCTATTGAAGGGTTTCTCAAATCTCCATTCATAACTTCCATATAGATGTCAGGTAAGAGGTAGAAAGAACTTTTTAAACAATTTCTCCGGAGTTTGCGCTGAATGTCTGCCAAATAGACAGCTGCATGAAGCTCTGGGTTAGACCACACCTAGAGTACTGTGTTGAATTCTAAGCATCACACTTTAGGAAGGATAAATAGGATGGGGTGCAGAATAGATTTACCACATCATACTTGGATGCTATGAGTTAAATTGTGAGGGAGGAGTACTTAAGTTACAATTTACAGCCTGGAGTAAGGAAGGTTAATGGGTGATTTGATCTAAGATTATAAGGGAGTAAATAATATTTCTGCTGATTGGTGAGCTCAGGTCAAGGGGCCAACTCTATAAAAATTCGAGTCAGAATTTTCGGCAATGCAATAAGGAAACACTTCCATTTGCAATGGTTAGTGGAAGTTTGGAATTCTTCAACAAATAGCAATTCATTTGAAATTGAAGATTGATACATTTTTTGTTAACCAAGGGTCATAAAGATTGTGGAGCAAAGAGTACATGGATTTAGGTCACAGATCAGCCATGAACTTATTGCATAACAGAATTGCCTTGAGGAGCCAGCTGGTTTCTCCCTTCTACTTTTCATGTGTTCCTATGATATTGGGAGAACTCCCTCTTTTACCACAGCGATCATTCTCTGCTAGAACATTTATGTGATAGAATAGGCAAGTAAATTAATCTTATTCTCTGCTTACAGGTTCTGAACTGGCAACGGCTTTGGGATTTGATCTGTTGGCTATGGAGAAAAGGTCTGTCTGTCAAGCCTGTATTTTGAAACATTCATTTTTAATATCTGCCAACATTTCTTTCCATATTCACCATAACTCCTTTGTAAAAGAAAACTGTAAAATTATAAGAAATTTTAAAAAGTCATGCAGAATCAAATGAGTAATAAAACAGAAAATGCTGGAGGTATTCAGCTGGTCTGGGAGGATCTTTGAGGAGGGAAACAGACTTAATAGTTGAATTCTGAAGAAGGGTCCCGACCCAAAATGTCTGCTTTCCTGCTCCTCTAATGCTGCCTGGCCTGCTGTGTTCCTCCAGCTCCACACTGTGTCATCTCTGACTCCAGCATCTGCAGTTCTTGCTATCTCTTAATGGTTGAATGTTTTTTCTGGATAAGCGTGAGTTGTGTTGAGTTTATTAGAAGGATTCTTGCCACAAGACCCAGTGAGATTTCTTGCCATTATCTTACCAAACTCACCTCATTAACTACCTACCCCTTCACTCAGGCACTTCATTCTAGCTCCATCTTACAACATGCCATTTCCAGAACCACTCGGCACTCACCAGATACACGCTGAAAGACCAGTATCCCTCACGCATGTGCCATCTTTAAAAGCCAGTTGTGTGTCTGGTCAAGCATTGTTAGCCTGGAGTTGCCCTGCACGGTTCTGGACACTGTCCCTGGTCATAGCAGACAGGGGAGTGGTGGCCCACTTTGTGGGCAGGGATCTGGAGGTCCTGCTGGATGGGATGGTGCAGATGTAGATCCTCCCCTTCCCCCAGGGGCCATAGTAGAAGCCACAAGAACTGACACTGCTAGCCTGTCTGAGTTTGCCACGAGATCAGTGCAGTCTCAGCATTCTGTAATGTAAGTGCCTCCATCTTCTCTCTGATACCTCAAACTCAATCTATCTCTGCTGCTGTACCCACCTCCCAACAAGGCTCATGCTCTGCCACTCTCACTACTGCCTAGAACATCTTCCCTACTTGCTGTCACTCAGCTCAACTCTTGATAGCAGTAATCCTGCCTGTCCTCTGTGCTGCCCAATCACTCACTAGGGTTACCTTGCCATTTGTACCATCCGTAATAGCTATGGCACTCACATTCGTCTCCTGTAATACCTGTCTTTCTGTCTCATTCCAAGAGAAAGTAGCTCCTAACAAGGCAGAAAGAGGCAAGATGGGTGATGGAATGCCTGATGTTTGACCCGTCACCACTTATGGGGAAGGGACCCTGACCCTGACTGCCCTTATGACCCTGACTGCCCTTGGACTATGTCCAAGCTCTTGGATTGATATTGGAGGTTACCTTTGACTTACAGTGCTGGGACCCCCTGTCCTAAGGCTGTCTCCCTTGACTTCACTGAAGACTGCCGACAACTATCACAAACTTCTTGGATTTGTGTTTGTGCAAAACAACAAGGCAAGACAGATGTAGAAGGCTCGATAAGCTCAGGTTGTTTTCTTTGGAGCAGAGAAGGTTGATAACAGTGCATAAGATTGTGAGGGGCACGGACAGGGTAGGAAGCAGCTGCTCCCCTTAGTTGAAGGGTCAGGAAGAAAGGGGGTTAATTTTAAAGTGAAACGCAGGAGGTTTAGAGGGGATTTGAGGAAAGAGTTTTGTACTAGAGGGTGGTGGGGGTCTAGAATGCACTGTCTGAGAGGATGGTTGGGATGGGTAACTCACAAGCTTTAAGATGTCCTTGGATGAACACTTGAAGTGTCATAACATTCAAGGCTATAGGCCTAGTGCAGGAAAGTCGAATTAGTGTACGTGGTCGTGTATTTTTGGCAGCACAGACTCAATGGGCTCAATAGACTGGATGATTCGATGATTCTAGGTAATATAAGTTTGGAATCTCTCGCTGCAGGGCAAGTAGACAAGGCAAGGCCATGCAAGGCAGTGATGCTGTGAGCATCGAGGTAGGCTCAAGAGAGTGCTAAGGGAACAAGTGAAGAGCCAAGAGATACAGCCTGGTGCAGTCCCTGAGCAAACACTGTCTTTGATGCAGCATTACACTGGTAATTGCAAGGTGCAGCACTGAAATGCAGAAACATGGATTGCAGATGTGGTATAATGTTTCTCAGAGGCTGGCACATGTAGGCTGCCAATGTCCATGGACATGGGGTGTATGTGGTGGTGTGCCCTTATAAGTTGTTGCCCAGTTGCTGAATTTGCCATGTACTGGCTCTGACTGCCCTATTGACAATTCTTGATGTCCTGCTTGTTTGGTGAGTTTGTAAAGATAGGAATCTGAGTTTTAACGAGGTGAGTTGCACCTATAGTAAAGCTATAAACCCCCATTCATTGGTAACCCACTGCTGCCAAGCAAGAACCTCGCCATGCCACTTGAGAAAAGCTTAAAAGCTGTAGTGAGATGCTTTTGACATGGAGATTGACTTTGTTGATTTCTCATCTGATTCTACCACAAATTACACTGTAGCACATTCCACTTAGATGCCCATAAATTTTCACCTGATATTTCAGAACGTCAAAGATCTTTCTTCAGAACCTTAACCTGAAATCTTTGTCTCTGTTTCTGTCTCCACAGATGGTGCCAGGCCTACTGAGCATTTCCAGTGCTTTCTATTTTTAATTTAGCTTTCTAGTGCCCACAAATGTTTTACTTTACAATTAAATGCATGTTCTTCTATTCTTGTAAATAAAACTTGAAACCCGCACTACAAAGACAAGAAACCTTCAGACCGTTTGAGATGATATCACTGATTGGAGGGGGAGCTGTTTACCTAATGGTGTCTCTTCATTCCTTTGGCGAGTCTATGATTTCAGCCTAAGAATCAATCTGAAGGAAATGATGTAGTGAACAACACATACAATAACATTTAAATCTGTGCAAAAATTTTTGTCCCTAGGTTACAGGCATTGGAGAAGAAAATTCTAGTTGAGTCTGCAGACATGCCATCCATCATGTATGAGATGAGAAATCGGGTAGAGTCATTTCGGGAGAAACTTGAAGTAAGATAAATCAATTTTGTGGATGATTAATGTCAAAAACTAAATCAAGCCAATGCATTTCCTTTCCACACGTTGAGCCTTTGCGTGTTTTGATTTTATTATTTCATTTGATTTTGTTATTTTATTAAGCATCTCCATGGGTCTATATTATGTCAAATATCTGAACTGAATAGTGCACCAAGGTTGGGACTAGAGGGTGGCATGGTGGCTCAGTGGTTAGCACTGCTGCCTCACAGCACCAGGGTCCCAGGTTTGATTCCAGCCTCGGGCTGCCTGTGTGGAGTTTGCACATTGTCCCCTGTCTGTGTGGATTTTCTCCAGGTGCTCTGGTTTTCTCCCATAGTCCAAAGATGTGCAGGTTAGGTGGATTGGCTATGGGAAGTGCAGGGTTACAGGGATGGGTCTGGACGGAATGCTGTTTGGAGGGTTAGTGTGACTCAATGGGCTGAATGGCCTGCTTCTGCACTGAAGGGATTAAATGATAGCATTGTTTATTCTCGTTCAAGAAGTTGTGCTGTTTCTTACATAATCTGAAAACATTTTACACTTCAGAAGAAGAATAGTCACGAAGAAGAGGATAATATGTCTGAGTATTACAGTTTAAATGAATTAAATGAATACCTGGACCATCTCCGATACCTCCCTCTCCTTCCTGGACCTCTCCATCTCCATCTCTGGTGACTGCTTCAACAGCGACATCTATTTCAAGCTCACTGACTCCCACAGTCACCTGAACTACACCTCCTCGCACCCACCTTCCTGCAAGAATGCAATCCCCTACTCCCAATTGCTCCGCCTCCACCACGTCTGCTCCCAAGATGGGGCATTCCACTCCCAAACATCCCAGATGTCCTCCTGTTTCAAGGACTGTAACCTCTCCCCTCTGGTGATCAAAAATGCCCTCAACCACATCTCTTGCATTTCCGGCACTTCTGCCCTCACACCCCTCCCGCCAACAAAAATAAAGACAGAATCCCCCCGGTCCTCACATATCACACAACCAAACTCTGCATCCAGCGTATCATTCTCCCCGCTATTTCTGCCACCTACAATCTGACCCCACAACCAGAGATATTTCCCACCCCACCCCTATCTGCCTTTCGTAGGGACCGCTGTCTACGTGACTCCCTCGTCCGCTCCACACTCCTCAATAACCCCACCACACCCAGCACCTTTCCCTGCAACCACAGGAAATGCTAAACCTGCCCTTACACCTGCCCCCTCACCTCCATCTCAGGCCCAAAGCAAACCTTCCATATCAGACAGGGGTTCACCTGCACATCCGCCAATGTGGTCTACTGTATCCACTGCTCCCCATGTGGCCTCCTCTACATCGGTGAGACCAAGCATAGACTCGGAGACCGTTTCGTAGTTTCTGTACGTGACAAACGACAACACCTTCCGGTCACCAACCATTTTAACTCCCCCTCCAACTCTCTGGGTGATATATCCATCCTGGGCCTCCTCCAATGCCACAATAACACCACACACAAACTGCAGAAGCAGCACCTCATATTCCACCTAGGGAGCCTACAGCCTGATGGCCTAAACGTAGAATTCACCAGTTTCAAAATCTCCCCACATCCAGCCTCATTCCATGTCCAACCCTCCCTCTCATCCCCGCCTCCATGACCTGACACAGCCTGTCCACTTTCTCTCCCACCTTCCGCCCCACCCATCCCACTGACCAATCCCCACCACTCCCTACCTGCATTCATCTATCATCTTCTCACCTACCTTCCCCAGCCCCACCCCTCCTCTCTCTATTTATTTCCTAGCTCCCTTCCCCCTCCCCATTTCTGAAGAAGAGTTCCGACCCGAAACATTAACTTTCCTGCTCCTCTGATGCTGCCTGACCTGGTGTGTTCCTCCAGCTCCACACTGTGTTGAATCTGAATCCAGCATCTGCAGTTTTGCTAACTCTAAATGAATATTGAAATTGTTTTATTAATTTAATCAGTCCTTTTTCCAGTTTTAACTATTGTATTAAGTATGGCAAGAAGTGAACAATAGAATACAAACTGTAGAAATGCAAGAAAGTTCATGCAATTGAAATAGATAACTGGAAATGTTTTTGGAGTATTTGCATCATTACTGTAAGCACATCACAGCACATTAAATCTTTCAAAACAAAACAATTGTGACAACTCCCTGTATTTCCCTTGGCAATCCCCAGTCTCGATTCCAGCCTTGACTCCAGCTCAGCTCTCCCCATCTCTTCTTAGTAGAATCATAAAATCTCTGCAGTCTGAAAGCAGGCCATTCAGCCCATTGACCCACACTGACCCTCCAAAGAGCATCCCACTCCCTGCCCTATTCTTGTAACCCTGCGTTTCCCATTCTCCACACTTCAGCTCAGATGTAGAATCGTCTAGACTGGAAATGTTAGCTTGCTATCTCTCCCCGGATGCTGCCTGACCCGCTGTGATTTCTAGCATTTTTTGTTTGCCATGGCTGATCCACATAGTCTGCACATCCCTTAATGCTATTGACAATTTAGCATGGTCAATCCACCTAACCTGCACATGTTTGGACTCTGGGAGGGAATCAGAACACTCGGAGGAAACCCATGCGGACAAAGGGAGAATGTGCAAACTCCAAAAAGACAGTTACCTGAGGGTGGAATTGAACCCATATCCCTGGCACTGTGAGGCAGCAGTGCTAATCATTGAGCCACTGGGGAATGGGCCTCCTGCCCCTATCCTCAGATACTAGGCTGTCGATTTTGCTTGTCAAAACAAACCATTATTATGTTGGAAATTTGACACATAGTTTCCAGTGATTGCACGTGCAGGTCAATGCAAAATCAGGAAGTGTGTTCTGAGTTAGCTGCTCCTGCAGAAACTTTGCTATGCTTTGTATCTCATTGAGAGAGTCACCAGTGACACGTATGAAAGGAGTGAAGCCATAGTAATTAGATAATCTCACCAGATAAAGTTAGGGCTTGTCTATTGTTATTGCTGGGTAGCACAGTTGAAATCAATTCCTGGAATTATCACAAAAGTTAAAAATTTTGAAAAGTACACAAAATTCTGCAAATTACCTGACCTAAGTTGACTGAAAACACAGACTAATTTTCTATACATAACAAGAATAACTATTCATTACAAATAAGTAGAACCCAGCTATTGGTAAACAATTATGAACCATCGGCATATAACTCAACTTGCTTTAACTCCCCTATAAACTCCCCCTTTACACAAGAATACACACAGAAACAGACACTATGGGTAGAGGGAATGACTGGGTCGGCATTTCAGTGGCTCTTGTTAACAAGGTCCACTGAAATGGTCCTTTTGGCTTGCCAGATGTGCTATTCATTGATTCTCCTTCTCTAGATGCTTTCGTTTGCTTGTAGAAGGCACAGGGTGGGCTGATTCACACTTATGAAGTCTTATGCTTTCTGGCTGAGAGCTATAGCTTCCAGCAACTGCTGGAGGGAGAAAGAAAACAACTACCTTCAAGTTTGAGATGCTTTTCACTGCAGAGCAAAAACAACTCCTTCTCCAGAGGTCATACAGCTTCTACGTCATTCTCACCTCCAAGCTGTTCAGCTATCTGGGAGCCAAGCTTTTATCATTAAAACTGATCACTAGTACACAGACCAATCTGCTGCTTGTTGGCAACTGAGGCTCCATTTGTATGCACTCCTTGGCTCCAGTTCATCTATAAACTCGGCTTCCAACTATTGCCTGACCAAACAGCTATGTAAACAGCACTTACAATGAATGTCTAGTGACTTGCTTTTAAAAAATGCAGCAATTTTTCAACAATCCTTTTTTTTCAGAAAAAAATAGTTCTTTTCCCATCTCACTCCACAATCAAAAGTACAGAAAAATAAAAAGATAAGATCTTTACACCATAGCAATGTAAGTAAACATTTAACAGTATAATGAGTCTTCAATAAGTTAAACAGCCTCTCAAGCACTAAACATTACATCTGACGTGTGGAAATTCATTTCTTCAGATTTTAATAATTGCTGGAAACTTTTAAGAATAAAAAAAGCCACATTTTTGAACTACTGTTCTTTAATAGGCCATTCAGCCCATAGAGCCTGCTGTACATTCAACAAGCTCAATAACTCCATCTAGGTGACCACCTCTATAACTCTTGAGTCCCTTGTCTGTTGAGAATCTATTTAACTCAACCTTGAATAAATTGAATGACCCAGCCTCCCACAGTATTCTGAGGAAGAGAATTCTACAGATTAACAACCATTCGACTAATAAAATTTCTCTGTATTACCACCTTTTATACTTAAGCTCTGTCCCCCACAGGAGGAATCTGGTTTTCAGTATCTACCCTGTCAAGTCCCCTCTGTATCTTGTATATTTCAATAAGATTAGATCTTATGTCAAGTCCCCTCTGTATCTTGTATATTTGAATAAGATCAGATCTTATGTTTCTAAAATCCAATGGATAGAGGCCCAACATGTTCAAACTTTTTTCATAAGATAAGTCTTTTAATGCAGGAATGAGCTGTGTGAATATTTGCTAAATTGCTTCTGATACAATTATATTCTTTTTCAAATCTGCACGGTATTCTAGATGTGGTCTCACCAAGGCCCTGTACAGCTGCAGGGCCCTATATTCCTTTCCTCTTGTAGTTATCAACAGATTTAATTTACCTTCTTAATCACTTGCTGTACCTGCATAATTTCCATTCTACTTCTGTACATGACTTGACATTGAATGAATCATTCTAATTTTAACTTCCTGGTTCATACTCCGCACATTTAATTAGGAATTCTTCAACTTCATTGGTTCAGGAGATATACAGTTGCTTGTCATGTTTATACCCGAAGACCATAAGATATAGGAGCAGAATTAGGCCATTCAGCTCGTCAGCTCCAATATTCAATAAGTTTCTCAACCACATTCTCTTGTTTCTCCCAGTCACACAGGTTCCTGACCCTTGTATAGGACTCCACACTGAAATGGCTTTCTAATTATGACATATTCTAGGGCTATAGCCCTTAGAAGGTCTGTGGGCAAGTGGAATTGTGATGAATGGTAACATTGTTTGTTCTTTACTAGCTGCAAATACATGTTCTTTCCTTCAACCTTATTAAAACTCTTTAATGTTCACAGAGTGTCGAACACCTCAGCTGGCTAGGGCTATTTAAAGAGCTGACGGAGGGAATGAATAAACCTTCACCCTTTTATCACAAATGTTCATTGAGAAAAACAAAAGAAGAGTGCCAGCAAGTCATGGAAAATTACCTGCAGATGAGGTAACGGATTGAGAGGAAACTTGCTGTGGTGATGCTATGCACCAACTAAACCCTCTTCTACATTTCTTTTTACTCTTTCAGGGGTATGGACTATGCTCATTGGGAAAGCATTTATTTTGCATCCCTAACTGCCCTTGAGAAGGTGGTAGTGAGATGTTTTCTTGATGCAATCTATTTGGTCCATCATGGGAAAAAATGAGCAGAACATGCAGGTGTGAATGAGGAAACAAAAGAGGCAAAGATAATAAATGAGAAGAGATTGGCAGCTCAGGGAATCCAAAAAGCTTCTAAAAACACAGAAATAGGAAGAAGGGAAGAAAGAGGAGGAGTGAGCCCAGTCAGGGAAGGGGAGCCACACCTGGAGTAACTCAGATACTAAATGAATACTTGCCATCTGTTTTTACCAAGGAAGAAGATTGTGACAGAGTCATAGTAAGGATTTCAAAGACATGACGGGCTAAAATTGGACAAAAAGATAAATGAATAAGGGTGTTATACATGATAAGCCACCGAGACCAAGTGTGATGATCTGAGAATCCTGAGGAAATCTCTATTCCTTGTAGATAACAATGGTAGTGCCAAGGGACCAGATAATTGTGGATATTACACCCTTGTTCAACAAACAGTGTGAGGATAAACCAAGCAATTACAAGACACTCAGTTTAACCTAGGTGACAGGGAAATGTTCAGAGATCCTGGAAAAAATACTAAAAGTCACTCAGAAGTATTAGTAATAATTAAGAAAAGTCAGCATGAATGTTTTTCTAAATGCAATTTATGTTTAACTAACTTGATTAAGATTTTCGGTGATGTAACACAGAAGGTTGATGAAGGTAATACATTTGTTGTGGATTCGTGGACATCCAAAAAGTGTTTGATAGAGTGCCAAATTTCTGCAAAATAGTAGCTGAAGGAATACCATCAGTGGAACCTTCTCAGCCTTGAACAACTTGGGCAGTGATGAGTCATTTGAGAGAATATGGTGATCGGAAAAATGTTGATGCTGAGAAAAAGGTCTGATTTTCCACACAAGGTTTTAATATGAGATGAGAATCTCATTAGTGAGCAGAAAGGGGTGTATTCACATATATTAACATCTTACTCTTATTATTGTTACCTCAATTATATGCATGACACTATTTTCCCAGGTAGCAGAGGGAAACTACATGCAACAATTCCTGATATGAAATTCTGAGCAATACCTGGCATTTCCAGCTTGCTGTTTGTCTTCTGGTCCTGCATATTGACTGTCTTAGACAAGCTGGTAGAATAGGTAGAAGTCTGGCCAATTACACTTAATATTGGGGGATACAAGGTGATGCATTATGGTGGAAAGAATGAGAAAATATCAACTGAAGAATACAATTCGAAAGAAGGTACAGGAATAGAGAGGCTGGGGGATATGACTATAAATTATTAAAGGTGGAAGGGCAGATTGAGAAAGTGGTTATGAAGACATTGCAAGATCCTGAGCTGTATAAATAGAAATACAGAATGCAAAAGCAATGATTGATTTTAAAACTATATAAAACATTAGTTTTTTGGCCTCACCTGGATTATTGTGTCCAACTCTCGCATCACACTTTCGGAAGAATGTGAAGGCAGTAAGGAGAGTTAGGAAGAGATTTACGAGACTGGTTCCAGGAAAATCCAGTTATTCGGATAGGATAGAGAAGCTGGAGTTATTCTCCTTCGAAAAGAAATGTTTGACAAAAGATTTGATAGAGATGTTTAAAATCCTAAAGTGTCTGAGAAAGTTGATCGAGAGAACTAGTCCCAACTGGCTGAAACTTTGAGAACCATAGAACGCCGATATGAGGTGGTTGACAAAAAAACCAAAGACAACTTAAGGATTTTTTTGAAATGCAGTGAACACTTGTTATATGGGATGCACTTCCTCAGGGAATGATGGAGGCAAATTCAATTGTGCGTTTCAATAGGGAATTGACTGAATTGCTGTTGCAGAGATCTGGCACAAACGTGACAGTTTGAATGACCTCCTTCTGTGTATTAACTATTCCTAAAGAGTGATGGTGCTGGCAAAAATAAATTTTAGTTTTGATGCAATGTTGGCATGTGATGTCCCACAGTCCAAAGGTGCGCAGGTTAAGTGGATTCGCCATACTAAATCGCCCACAGTGTCCAGGGATGTGCAGGCTTGGTGGATTAGGCATGGGGAATGCAGGGTTACAGGGATAGAGTAGAGGGTGGGTCTGAGTGAGATGCTCTTGGGAGGAGCAGTCTAGACTCAATGAGCTGAATGGCCTGCTTCTACTCTGTAGGGACTCTATGATTCCGTGAAATCTTCAAAGCTGTTCACAAGCAGTGGAGGGGGTGCAGAGGAGATTTACAAGGATGTTGCCTGGAGCAGTTTCACTACAAAGAGAGGCTGGATAGGTTCAGGTGTTTCTTTTTTAAAGAGCATAGAAGGCTGACCTGTTTGAAGTGTACTAGGCTGTGAAGAGCATGGACAGGGTGGATAGAAAGCAGCTATTCCCCTTAGTTGAAGAGTCAGTAACAAAGGAGGCATCATTGTAAGGTGATGAGCAGGAGGTTTAGAGGGTTTTAAGGAATGTATTTTTTTCACCCAGGGTGTAGTGGGAATCTGGAATGCACTGCTTGGGAGGATAGCAGAGGTGGGAAACTCCCAACCTTTAAAAAGTACTTGAATGAACACCTGAAATGTCATAACATTCAAGGCTACGCGCCAAGTGCTGAGAAAGTAGATAAGTAATGGGTTTCTTTTGTCAGTGCAGACTCAATGGGCCAAAGTGCCTCTTCTGTATCGCATGGCTGTATGATTACAACTCAATGAATTAGCTGGAAGAATGGTTCAGAAGCCAAACTCGGCAGCAACCAACATTAAAGTTCCACCAACACCAACCAGCAAAATCCTGGAGGAGGATTTTGGCCGGGTTAGGCTTTCTCCTGAATAGTACCATGAGACTTCATGTTCACTTGAAAAGGTATTTAGGACTGGGTTAAAATTGTATCAGAGATAGTAGGAACTGCAGATGCTGGAGAATCTGAGATAACAAGGTGTAGAGCTGGATGAACACAGCAGGCCAAGCAGCATCATAGGAGCAGGAAAGCTGATGTTTCGGGCCTAGACCCTTCTTCAGAAATGGGGGAGGGGAAGGGGGCTCTGAAATAAATACGGAGAGAGGGGGAGGCGGATAGAAGATGGATAGAGGAGAAGATACGTGGAGAGGAAACAAACAGGTCGAAGAGGCGGGGATGGAGCCAGTAAAGGTGAGTGTAGGTGGGGAGTTAGGGAGGGGATAGGTCAGTCCAGGGAGGACGGAGAGGTCAAGGGGGCGGGATGAGGTTAGTAGGTAGGAGATGGGGGTGCGGCTTGAGGTGGGAGGAGGGGATAGGTGGGAGGAAGAACAGGTTAGGGAGGCGGGGACGAGCTGGGCTGGGTTGTTTAATGTCTCATCAAAAAGAGGCGGCCTCTGACATTGCAACTTTTGCTCAGTGTTGTACTGAAGTGTACATGAATCATAAAATAACCGAAACAAATATTGAAGTTATTCTGCATTACAATAAGCGAAATCTTTCAATCTAGGTTACAGGAGGTATTTTAACTGCTGTAGGTATGGTGACTTTTATTCAGGTCAGATTGACTCAACTCAGTCAGAGGTTTGCTCAGCGTGTGATGTGGAAGGAAGCAGCAAATTTGGTCAAATCTATAAACCTTGAGTGGAACAAATGGCCTTCTTCTTGGCTAAGAGAATTTGATCACCTCATCTCCTAACACAGGAACAGAACTTGAATAGAAATAGAGGCTTGATTAGAACTGAGTAGCCAGCTAAACATTGCTTTGCTGGAAACAAAGAAACCAGTTGTTAATTAGAGAGACATCATTGCTATCAATAGAGTAAATGAGATCTCTCTTAAATATCGCTAATTGTTTTTCACTGCAGCAGTCTGGAGGTCACAGAAGAAGTTAGACAGTATCTGAAGACACCAACCTTCGATAACTGGTATGCAAACCTTGGGCTCTTCCCTGAGCAAGTTGTTAATCAATATCCACTAATTGCAGTCGTTTTTGAATGACCTATTCAGATATGTTATGACGTGCCTCTGTAACAGATGGGACTTGAATTCAAGTTTGTCTGGCTTGAAATGAGGGACACCAACACTGCACAACAAGAGCCACAATTACTTGTGTATTTGAACTGAATGATAAATATGGGCCCAATATTTGTCCAGTCGGAATCCAATTTATATTTCTGAATTAATAATTGACAGGCTTGGCTGGTATGAGTGCTCTGGGATGTAATTGGGATAATCTTCTCAGACACTTTGTGAATTATGAATTGATCCTACGTATCAGTCAATTTTGGGTAGTATATATACTAGCTGCTTTTCGGTAATGCTTATAAATTGATATGAAGGCAGTAACTATATTCTATGGCTGTTATTAATCTTACAGCCTGGATTCCATTGCACATTGACAGCAGGGAATGTGCAGGTTGTTAGTGTGCATTGTGACACTTCATTGGCGCAAACAAATCTCTCGATTGGAGTAGAAGCACCATTCCAAACTCATCATCAATGTACATCGCAAAACTTATCTTTTTATATTTTCAAGCATTTAGTTAAGTGGGGATTTTTATAACAGATCACCAGGTACCAAGGAACAATGATGGAGCCAGGGGAATATCAAACTAAGTACATGATTAGGCTATTCTTTCCTTTGAGCTTGCTCCACCAAGTGGTTCTAACGTGAAATTAAACAGATGTTTATGATCAGTTTGTGAATGTTGGGCTGATATTCCCACCTTGAATCCAGCTATTCAATTTTTTCAAAAATTTGTTGATCACCTGTGACGAGACTCACAAGTGAGTCCGGAAGACGTTCATGACTCGCAGCTGCTAATCTGGTCCGTTCGTTCAAGACGGGCAGCACGGTGGCTCAGTGGTTAGCATTGCTGCCTCACAGCGCCAGGGACCTGGGTTCGATTCCACCCTCAAGCGACTGTCTGTGTGGAGTTTGCATATTCTCCCTGTGTCTGCGTGGGTTTCCTCCAGGTGCTCCAGTTTCCTCCCGCAGTCCAAAGATGTTCAGGGTAGGTGAATTGGCCATGCTAAGTTGCCCATAGTGTTCAGTGATGTGTAGATTAGGAGGATGGGTCTGTGTGGGATGCTCTGACGGTCAGTGTAGACTTGTTGGGCCGAAGGGCCTGTTTCCACACTGTAGGGATTCTATGATAACTGCCTCGGCACTACCACTGTAAATATACTGTAAGTAGATCTGGGAGTCAATTGAAATGTAACAATTTGTTCACTTGGTGTACTTTGCAACCTTTGACACTTAGATGTGCTGTCATCAGAAAGTCCCAAACAGAGCCCAGGCCCATCCACAGGAAATAATGTAAATCGGAAGAGAGGTTGGACTTCTCAGGTTCAACTTTTCTTGTGGGGTAGGAGTCACAGGAAGGGAGCTGTAGAAGATGAGGGCAGAGTGTTCAGAGGTAAGAGTAGATAGTTGGCTTCAGTGACCATTCCCCTTTCCTTCAATCAGGATTTTTCTTTTATTCATTCACGAGATGCCGGCGTTACTAACTGGTCAGCATTTATTATCCATTCCCAGTTGCCCAGAGGGCAGTTCAGAGTCAACTACATTGCTGTGGGTCTGGAGTCACTTATAGCCCAGACCAGGTAAGGATGGCAGTTTCCTTCCCTAAAGGGCATGAGTGAACCAGACGGGTTTTCCTGACAATCGGCAACTATCTCATCATCATCATTAGGCTCTATTTACAGATTGTTACTAAATTCAAATGCCATGGCAGGTTTCAAACCCAGGACCCCAGAACGTTACCTGGGTTTCTGGATTAATATTCTAGCGATAATACTAATCGACCATCACCTACCTGAAATAACTGCACAGAGGCTGGTATCCGTCACCAAGACATCTTTTATTTACATGTGCACAGTATTCTGGCTGTGGCCAGCCAGATCGGAGTCAGTCCCCTGAACTGAGGAGATTCTGATCTCCTGGTTATATCGGTCAGACAGTGCTTTCCTGATTGGCTCAGGTTAACAACCCCCAATAAACAACCTCGTAGTCAATGAGGTCAAGCTGGTTCCAATCACTACGCTACCCCGATAATTTATGGCTTGGCATTGCAGTCTTTGGGCCTGATGTGGCGGACTTTCAGCCCAGCGTGGCAGACTCTCGGCCCAGTGTGGCAGACTCTTGCCCGGCTTGGCAATCTCTCAGCAGCCCAGCCTGGTGGTCTCTCAATTCTAAATGGTGGTCTTTGAGTGGTATGTGGCGGTCTCTCGGCCCACTGGTGGCCTTAGTGTGGACTTCCAGTCTCGAGGTGATTCCTCGAAGTGTGGTCCCACTGTGGCTAAGCATGTAAGAAAGACTGTAATGTTTGAACTTTCAGCTTTATTTCTTTATTTTCCACTTAAAACTAAGAAGGTCTGCAATGTGTAACTTTTAACCACATTTTGTATGTTTTATGCTATACTATAATTACTGCATTGTTTAACTTTTAACTTTGTCTTTCTTTTTACCTTGTTCTTAAGATTCTGTACCGAGTATTTGTACCTAAGATGGCACCTTGTGTGGTGAAATTATACACTTTTCACTGCACTCCTGTACTTTTCTACTTGAGTACACGTGACGATAAAATCACAATCAAACTAACTAAGTGTCTCCGCCTCAGAAATCTGCAGGAGAACCTGACTGGTTTTGTCTGATGGCCTTCGGGAGACCTGGGAAAGCTGTGCACTCTCATTTAATCCCTGAGCCACTTCCGAGCCCAATAACAAGCCTAACTGACATCCTGCAGTGAACAAGAGGCTTTCCCAGTGGGCCCCATCCAGCCTCCAACATAACTGTGAGAGGTTTCGCACCTGCTAAGAGACTGACATTTAGGAGGCCCTGCCCCCATGTTTCCTCCTCTGGGGGACTGCATGAAATCTAGCCCACTTTTGCCATCTATGGCCCTTCCTAACTTCTTCCTCCCATCCACATTCCTAAATCTTTGTATCATTTGCAAAGTACAACTCTCTTTTCCTTCAATTAAGACGTGATGAAGAGCTGTATATATATCCTCATTGCAGAGAACATTACTTGCCATGTCCTGAGAATCGGAGAACAAACCACATAACAAGTGTTCCACACCACCCTCCTAACCAACTGTTAACCCATCTCACAATATTACTCTAAATCCATCTGCTGTCATTGCATCCAATGATTCACGCCTATCCACACTGTTAATAAACTTCCCCCTATGCTTGGAGTTTGCATTTCTGCTGAACTAATTTAATTTATGGTCAGATAGTGCTTTTGATTTGTCCATGAAAATAACAAAATGCAAAAAAAAAAGTATTTTCACAGTTGCTTGCAACAATATAGCCATATTTTAATCAGAACCTGATTTAAATCAAAGGGCGTCATTAAGTGTGCTCTGAGCAAATTGGGATGGGAACACTTGTTACATTATCTATCCCAATTTGTACTGGGTTTATAGCCACAGCATCAAAATGAGGCAGTGCTTGCACTTATTACTTTAGTATAAAAATTTTATGGCCGTTAGATGTTCCAATGATATTTGAAATGTGTATTTGATGATATCTAGATCAATAATGATTTTTTTTGTAAAATCTGCAACTGATGTTTAAATATTGCTGGCTTTGACAATAGTTGAAAGACAAAAATTCCAGGGCTTGCACGGAGGCTATGACTTCCTTAGAGTGAAAGAGTTCAATTACAAATAGGAAACAACTAATCACTATTGAGTTTGAAGGGGAGAGCAAATCTAAAATGTCACCACCAGAACTGTCTTCCAAAATTGCGACCCCCACTTCCTAAAAATTATCTACAAAGTAATTCCCAGACATTTGCTTATGTGTAAACAGGGTCTAGGGTTTGTTCATAACTTCCATCGTTACTTTTGTTGTCGCTCCTGGTGTATGACAAGGTATTTGCTAAAACTCACTTCCATCGTCACATCATGTTCCTCAGTGACTGCCCCCAGCTCAGTCTCACTCTACGTGGATTCCAACTGAAGCTTTATCGTTCGTGTTTTGAATCAACCCAGTGTCATAATATATCCATGATGTACATTGCTCCTCAGGTAGCTGTTCTTGCTGTATCCTGAGATCCACCCTGAGTGCCATGCCATCACAAAATGCACCCTCTCAACTTTGTTCCAGCACTGCCTCACACTGGCTCAGAACCCCCCAGTTCCACTTCATCCTCCGGCTCATTCGACGTTCTAACAAGAAACTTTTTCTTTTCCATTACCTTTAGTCTATCCGACTATTTTTTTCCCTCTCTGCCTCTTTCTCCTCCTATCGTTTACTTCTCCCCTCTCTCCCCACCCCATCTTCAGCATGTATACTAATCCTTTCCAGCTGCAATCAATTCTGAAAAATGGTCACTGGACCCAAAATTTTAACTCTGCTTTCTCTCCACAGACGCTGCCAGATCTGCTGAGTTTTTTTTCCAGCAATTTTTGATTTTGTTTCATTTCCAGCATCTGTAGTTCTTTTTTTTCTTGTAGAGTTTGTTCAGTGTATGTTGTAAAGTACTGGAATCATGACATCAGCACTATGTCCATATTCATGCTCTAAGCCATGGAAAAGTCACGGGTTGGAGAGACTTCAGCTGCCTCTACTGTTGTTACTTGATGCTGAAATTTGTGAAGCTGGATTAATGGTAATGAAGGAATTCAGGTTTACTCCCAGTGCCATATAATAGCGAGATCAGAAATCAGTGAATAGACTGAAATTCATGGTTAGAAGGATGGTGTAGGAGGGAAGGATTTAAATTCATGAGGCATTGGGACACAATTCTGGAGAAGATGGAAGGTATACAAGCTGGCCAGGTTGCAATCAGTAGGAACAGGACCAATATCCTCACAGAGGCATTTGCTAGTACTGTTGATTGATTAATTGATTGATTTATTCTCAGGTGTACCGAAGTACAGTGAAAAGTGTTGTTTACAAACAGTACAGGCCG